GCGGGGGGCACACACTATTCTCGATGGGGAGACTCCAGGATGCAGGTTGTCCTCGACTTACAACAGTTCATTTAGTGATTGTTCAAAGTTACAACGACCCTGAAAAAAAGCGACTTAGGAACCGTTTTTCACAACAACCATCGCAGCATCTCCATGATCCATGTGATCAAAATTCAGATGCTTGGCAACTGAGTCACATTTATGACGGCTGCAGTGTCCCGGGATCAGGTGATCACCTTTTGAGGCCACCTGAGAAACAGAGTCAAGGAGGAAGACGGATTCCCTTAACAAGCATTCATTCACTTAGCAATTGTGGCAAGAAAAATGAAAAGGGAGGCATAGTTCACTTAACAAATGTCTTATTTAGACATAGAAATTTTGGGCTTGATTGTGGTTGTAAGTCGGGGATTACCTATATTCTCATAAGAATCCACTTCCTAACATTTTCTTTAAATTACTTAGTTTGCAGTTAAGTTTCCCATTTTCTGTCTTTGTCACCCTGGCTACCCTCTATCCAGACCACTAACTTCCAAAACACATGCCAGTAGCCACCATCAGCCAGTAAGATTCAGAGGAAAAGTATGCAGCTAAAACAGGAACTTTGCTAGCAGAAAAGAAGAATTCGGAGCATTTTTGATGTACATATTTTATTTGGCCTTAAAAAAATATTCCTCCATATTAGTGCCTTCAAAACATTGGGTTCCTCTTTCTGTCATCATGCAAAGAAACCCCTTTGCCCTTACCAAATATACTTGCTGTTTTCCATCATGAATATGTAATATTTGTTTTGGGAAAGGTGGATGTTTACAGTAGAGCCAATGGCTGCTTGCATTTTCCATCGGATGAATGGGGACTGCACAGAAGCAGCGCTAGATGGATGGCTTGCTTTGCACCACCATGGAGGGTTTATTCTCCATGGTTGCTCGGGGAGAAATTAACTGTACAGTAATGGATTCATGTCTGCCAGTAAATCTGCAATAGAAATCCATCCATATCCTGCAAAATGATTTATGCAGGATTTGTTGAGGCTTGCAGTAACTTTCCTTCAAAAAGGGCAGCTCTCTCTCTCTTTTTCTTCAAAAGTCAACAAAACACATTGGGGAGGTTACAAGGAACATTCTGATATGGGGAAATGGAAAGACACTTATTTGTGATTGCACCAGGCTGAAAGATAACAACTGCAGTGGAGCAACATTTAAGTAAGAGTTACAAATTCTTGCCTTCAAGTTTCTTAACAAATAGATTGTTTTACAGAAAGATAGTGTAAATTGTTTTTCTTTACATTTTGATGTTTTTTTTAAAAGTGTATAAGACATCCTCTGTTTTTTAAATAAAACATGGTAGAAAAAGACATGCTTTGCAAAGTATTAAATGCATAACTTTTGGTTTCTTTATGGTTGTTAATGTAGTTTTTTTTTAATATTCCAGGCACTTGGTATTAGATAATACTGTTTTTCAACTTTGTATTTCAGAAAACATAAGTCTTTCCCCATTAGCTCAGCAATAGAAGTTATTTGTATGTGTTTCTACTGCATTTACCAAAATACTTATAACATTATGCAGCGTAGGTAGAAATATAAGCTTCCTTCTTGTCTCAATTATCCACAACTTCATCTACAACGTTTTTATTATTTTTTGAAATATGCAAATCAATGTATGTGTACAAAATAAAGGAGCAATGATACAATGGAGTGTGTCAATCCTATTTCTAGCATTTCTGAATTTAAAAAGGTACATTTTGGACACCAAGAGGCTGAATAGCTACAGTAGAAATAGGCTTTTTTTCTGACTTAAGGGGCACTTCAAAAATGGATTTTTACACCAGTTTGATAGCAGCTGCAGATTTCTATGATCCTCCAATATTGGATTGTTATTAGAGAGGTCTGAACTGATTTATTTTTGGCTTAGCTGTTTAAAACTTCAATAAAAATAGTCTTCTCATCTCTTTCTCTCACTTTTCAGTTTATTTTTGAAGTACCAAGCTTACAGAACTTACAGTCAGCCCATTTATATATTTATTTGCTAGAATCTTAGACCACCCTGCAGCTAGATGATTTATCAAAAATAAAACATCAATAATGCCATAAAAATATTCATAATCTTCTTGAAATGAGCAAATAAATAGGACTGGAGGCTAAAAATATAAAGAATGGTTGCTGGAATTGGGTATGTCTAGTTTAATGGAAAGAAGGACTAGGGGTGAAAGGTTAGCAGTGTTCCAGTATTTAAGGGGCTGCCACAAGGAAGAGGGAGTCAAGCTATTCTCCAAAGCACCAGAAGGCAGAAGAAATGTTTGGAAACTAATGAAGGAGAGAATCAACCTAGAACTAAAGAATAGTTTCCTAACAACAATCAGTGGAATGACTTGCCTCCATTTAGTGGAGGTTTGTAAGAAGAGATTGGACGCCATTTGTCTGAAATTGTATAGAGACGTGATGGTGAACTTATGCCATGCGTGCCATAGGTGGCACGCAGAGCCATTTATGCGGGCACACGAGCCCCAGCCAAACTTACCTGCACTGCGCATGTACGTGCCTTCCAGCTGATTTTCGGCCCAGCCTTTTTCGCCCTCCTGGAGGCTTGAGGGAAGCCTCTGCCGCCTCGGGAAGCTGAAAAACCGGCCTTCCGGAAATACCAGAAGTGCCGAAATGGTCCCATTTTCAGCCTCCAGAGGCTCCACAGGCTTTCCTTGAGCCTCAGGGAAGGTGAAAACGGCCTTCCCCGAGCTCCACAGGCTCTCTGGAGGCTGAATTTCTGGAAGGCCCATTTTTCGGCCTCCCGAGGCTGCGGAGGCTTCCCTCGAGCCTCCAGGAGGGCAAAAACTGCCTCAAATGGGCTGAAAATCAGCTAGGAGGCGCACGCATTCACAGTGAACGTAAGGGGGTGGGGTGCATTGCATTGTGGGTGCTGGCACGCACACGTTTTTGGCACACCATAACAAAAAGGTTCGCCATCACTAGTATAGAGTTTCCTGCTTGAACAGAAGGTTGGACTAGACCGCCAAGGTCCCTTCCAACTCGATTATTCCATTATGGCTCCCACAGCATTATAGAAAAAATTCCTTTGAAGATTCATTTTAACTTGGATAATGATAAGCCCAAGTGTGGGATTCAAATTTTTTAACAACCGGTTCTGTGGGCGTGGCTTAGTTGGTGGGCATGGCTTGGTCATGTTATTGGCTGGGTGTGGCCAACTCAATATCACTCACATCGAGGCACACCTCTCCTCGCCTGGCCTCTCGTGACTGGGGATGCTGCAACAGTCGTTAGTGTGAAAAACGGTCATAAGTCACTTTTTTCAGTGCCATTGTAGCTTTGAATGGTTACTCTACACAAGCAAAGTACCAGCAAAGGAGGGGGAAAAAAACTCCAGAGAAGTTCCAGAGACAGGAAGTCTAGTCCTGCCAAGAATGTAATAAGGATTAACAGAGAGGCAGTTTCTGTAAGCAACACCAGAATGTTTCCTTCCTGCCTTCCTTACAGGATTAGGCCAGTAATTTCTTCTAACAACCAGTTCTCCGAACTGCTTAGAATGTTAACAACCGATTCTAGCGAATAGGTGCGAACCTGTAGAATCCCACCCCTGGATGAGCCCTATTCCATTTGATGTCTTCTTCAGTAGTATTTTTCAAACATTTATAGATGAATAGGCTTCAGCTCCCAAAATTCCCCAGCCAGGCTGGCTAAAAAATTCTGGGAATTGAAATGCACTCATCTTAAAGTTGCCAAAATGAAAAACACTGGGCTACTGTCATCTGTTAAATAAATCTATGGGATAGATATATGGAGCCACAATAGAAAAACATCTCTATCCTTGGCCCTCTGTTCTTGCCATTGGTGGGGGACTACCAACAATTTGGAGGAATTCCCGCCTGCACTCCAGATCTTGGAGAAGGAAGGGTAGCCAGCCAGCTTTGCAGCTCCTTTCCATCAGGACCATGAGGATTTTTGTGTGTAGACTTTTTGTATATGATTATAGATGGGTGCACAGTATGAGCAAATATTTTTTCCTTCTCTACTGTGTAGGGATTTTTTTTTTTTGATAAAATTGGTGGAATAGCCATTTTTGCTTGTTCTGTGTTTGTTCCCATGTTGGCAGATTTGAAGAGGAAAAACTTTTGAAGGGTCAGAAACACCCTTTTATGGAAGAAGGTATTTTATGGGTGTGAATTTTCTAAACGTGGCTTAATGAAACATCATTTCCTTCTCCATCGGAGGTTTAAATCATCTCCTGGATTCATTTTTATCTACTACACTAGCAAATTATAAATCTGGTGCTAATACTCAGCCATTTTTGAGACTTTGGAGGCGCTCTCTCCCCTTTCCCACTCCCACTTTTTAAAGACTAGAGACTAGCAAATCTGAGTGGCAAAATTCTGGATGACCTCCTGATGGCAGCAGAGAGACCTATCAATACTGGCCCCTAGTGGTAGTCTGAGGTTTTGCAGCCAAGATCTGGCAGTACAATTTGAATAAGTATTATTAAAATCCTGTCTCATTTAGTTGGTCAGGCACAAAATTGTCTTTCTATTTTCCTTCAGTATTCCCCGCTTCCCCTGGCAGCTGTGATAATGATTCTTTGGGATGGTTATAGCTGCTGTGCACTTCCACATAAACGGGTATATATTTCAGTTGTATGAGCTATAACTCTTACTTGATGGGTATGACTACAAAATTTGTTGGAATGGAGTGGGTGGCTGGAGGAACACGTGTGTATTCTAGAAAAAGCATAAAGCTGCTAAAAGAAAGCAAAATATATCCCTTCACTGTTGCAATCAGAGAAATCTAAGTGTTAATTCTCAAGAGCTGAACTTCAGAGGGGAAAATCTCATTGGCAGGAAATTGCATCTTTATTTTTGTCAACAGTGGATGGACATCACCATGGAGCTAAATACACAATACTTTTTTAAATTGAAGAAGTGTGCATATGTGCATGTTTGTTGGTACTGGGTTTAAAAAACAACAAAACAGCAGGTGGAATCTGCCATTGCACTATAGGTAGTCCTCAACTAAGGACCACATTTGAGCCCAAATTTTCTGTGGCTAAGCAAGGCCATTGCTGAAGTGAATTGCACCCCATTTTACCATCTTTTTTGCCACAGTTGTTAAGCAAATCACTGCAATTGTTAAGTGAAGCCTGCAGTTGTTAAACAAATCTGGCTTCCCCTCCCATTAACTTTACTGGTTGAAAGCCAGCTGAGAAAGTTAGAAATTGGGATCCCATGATTGTGGAAGGGTGCAATTATCATAAATACAAACCAGTTGCCAAACGCCCAAATTTTGATCACGTGACCATAGAGATGCTGCAAAACTCATAAGTGCAAAAACTGGTCATAAACAACTTTTTTCAGCACCGTTGTAACTTCAGTCACTAAGTGAATGGTCGTAAGTCGAGGACTACCTATATTATAGGTTGTAAAGCTCACAGCTTTTCAACCTTCGTTTGCTGCATCATTTGTAATGCTTTGTAATACCACTCTGGATCTGTTGAGATCCATTTTGCATCTCTGAAGATCCTCCCTTATTTTACTGGTCTCCGGGTTTTTTTTTCTTCTTTTCCACAACATCCACTCGTTGGGGGGTCTTCTCATCCCCTTGCTTCAGAAAGAGAGCTTCGAAACTCCAAACTTTTTGATTAATGACACAACATGACTGATGGCACAACAGTGATTGGTCTCATACAATGAATTTGCATACAGACAGAAGGTTATACAACTTGCCTCGTGGTGTAACCGGAACAATCTGGAACTGAACACACTCAAAACCGTAAAAATGGTGGTAGACACTATAGAGCATTGCACACCAGAACAACTTGACACAAGGACAGGTTTTCCCCAAATGCCATCACTCTGCTAAACAAATAATTCCTTCAGCACTGTCCAACTATTTACAAAGTCTGCACTACTGTTACTGTTAACTTTCTCATCACTCCTTATCACCCATCCCCTCCCACTTATGACTGTATGACTGTAACTTTGTTGCTTGTATCCTTATGATGTATCCTAGTATGATTTGATTGCTTATTGTACCCTATGACTATTATTAAGTGTCGTACCTTATTATTCTTGAGTCTCAACGAATGTATCTTTTATGTATACTGAGAGTATTTGCACCAAGACAAATTCCTTGTGTGTGCAATCACACTTGGCCAGTAAAGTATTCTATTAATTTGTATAACACCTAAAAGTTTTGGCTCTGTGGATTCTTTTCTCCCTCTCTTTTTTCATACCAAGTATCAGCCCTCTTTCCTGTTCATGGAGCCTGGGACTGAAAGCCTAAAGAAAGATAAACAACAGAGTCACACTGTTCAGTTCTGATGGCATCTGAACAGTCTTGAACATTTTTTAAAAATGGCCTTCAGGTCTTCTCTTCAAAACCAGCCATTTTGATGCAGGTTTGGAACTGCAATCTGGCTGGCTGATTTTTAGCTAGGTAGAAGAGAAGGGACACATGGACAAAAATATATACATGTTGGAACACACTTTTCATCTCTTTCCTTAACTTCGTGATTTTAGCTGAATTTGGCAGGAGAAAAAGCGCAGACAGGATAGTTTCACCCCCATGGAAATCCTCCCTCATGTGCTGTGGAGTTTCCGTTCTGGAAAGCTGACTGAACACAGCTGTTGTTCCTGAAATGTGTTGGGCGCATAGACAAGAAAGAGCAGAATGTGTGTCTGTATGTATGTGT